ATTGCAACTCCCTTGCATCACCCTCCCCTTCTTAGGAGAAACTACAGTGGCTGTGAAACATCCCTATAAAACTAGTGTTTGGTTTATCCATTCTAGGCTACTATAGAAACATGGCGGCCTCCTTGGAAGGCATCACGCAGCATCTACAGATACAAACGGCTCATTCATTGCTGATTTCCAGGTGATTATACACTAAGGAAACATAGTTATGCGTAATATATTCAATTTCTGCCAAAAGATCCTTCTTTAAAGCTCTGTAGAGCTGACTGCAGAGTCAGATGACAATCATCTGTGGGTTCAAGTGACTCCTGACTTTTTAAAACACCTTTCAGTGACTAAATTAAACTTATGAATACTTGAGTCAAAAGGTAACCTACAGAGGCTTGGTCAAAGAAAGTACACCACCTTCATATTTACAGGATTGTAATGATGTGCCAACAGAAAGATTTTGAGTTGTTTGGGTTTGCGTAGAGTTGGAAGTTTTCTATTGGCTTTACGTTGTCAGAAACAGATGGAGGCAGATACAGTGTTTACCCTGGTCTCTCAGCTTTGATATGCAGATGGGAAGTTCACAGAGAATGAGTGATGCTCTAGTCTGGCTGAGCTGCGTTAGAGGCCAGAGTAAACAGTCCTAATGGACAGAAGAGGGGTACAGTGACTCAGATAAAGCTAAGAGAATGTATTGATTTCCTCATTTCCCATTCCACTTTACCTGAATTTAAGGTCAGAGGTTTGTACTTTTCCTGCCTGAACAAAGATATAGATACATCAATTGGTGGAGAACTCGAATGGGTCATAGGAAAAAGAGAAAAAGGAAAACACTGATGGACTTCATTGTGTAAACAATTCACACAACTATACATCTGTACAGTGAGAATAGAAACTGGGTTATACAGGAATCAACTTCATGAAGTGCAGAAGCTGTTAGCTGAAAAAATTGTCATCCAAATGGTTTTGTTGAAACCCAGATTTTTGAATATAGAAGATTTTTCAGCTATTGAATGTAATCACTTACCAATGTGTTTTTGGTCTTGTCTGCATATCTATTCTGATTCAAGTGAAATTTGAAAAGACGTCTCTATTAGCTTCCCCCACAATTCACTGCCTCCTTTTGAATATG